GCTAAAAAAAAAAAAAAAAAAAAAAGGAGGGCACAGTGTGTAAGGCTAAGGTCAAAAAGAGCGACAACTGCATCGGGTGAGCGGCTCGCCCGCCACAAAGGGGACCGCTAATTAAGCTCCCGGCGAGCGGGCAAACGTTCTCGTGCCAGTCCAAAGGGGCTTTTTCGGTGCTTACCCGCATGGGGGCTCTAAATAATAAATACTCCACGGCGGCGGCTGGGACCTTCGAAAAAGGCTCTGCCGGAGCACAAATGAGTACACATACCTGTGGGACTTTGGTTTTGGGCAAGAAAATAAGTTATCACCAAGGTATATTCATGTCAAAAATAAGGACGAAGCTCAATTAGGCGGGTCTTTTGGGTAATGAGCGACTCCTTGAGCTGTTGTTGGAGTCGAAATATTGCAGTTGAAGCGACAAACTTTCGAGCGCGAGCATAAAGCCAGGAGCCGCGGGAGCCAAAGAGTTTGAGCTTCGTAATCCTTGAAAACTCAATATTCAACAATTTAACACAAGTCGCGGAAAGTTTTTTATTTGCGGACGAGGAAAGGGAGATGCGGAGCAGTTGAGTCGCTAGTAAGAAGCTTAGTATAAATAAGTTATGAACCGTCTGGGTGGAGTGGGCTCGCTAACCCCCTTTTAAGGAAGTGTCACACCTGGAGTTGTTAATTTTCGAGCTTCGACTTATTTAGTGCTGCCGATTTGCAAATATTAAGTTGGGTTTTGTTGAGAGAAAATAATTTTTTTTTTTTTACTTAACGATTCCTTAGAAAAAAGTTCAAAAATACGCTTCCACGGGTACAATTTATTGGAAATAAAAGTGGCTTTTCATCTCAAACTTTGCAATTACTTCGTACCACACACTGCCGCGACACACGGTATACACGAGAAGTTACAGTTTCAGACGCTCGATCGACGTTAACTCGGTCGTTAAAACGCGCGAAAGTCACGAGAGAGCGCGGCCCCTTCCGGTTCGCAACGACTCGGGCTCTAAAAGCCATTTGAACGACTTTTTATTTGATAATTCATATTTCCTAGTCTCTGTAACGCAAGTGCACGGGCTTGGGAAGAAAAAAAAAAAAAAAAAAAAAAATGATTAACGCCTGTAGCGTGACACCGTTTGATGTCGGTTTTCTTCGTGGGGCATGTAAGAGCGTGTGCTTTGGTTTGTTGGAGCTTATTAGTTTAGATGCCGTTGAGCAAGAGATAAGATATGCAAAGTGTAGAAAAAGTTGTTGCAAATGGCTATTAACTTGGTTCGGTTGCGTGAGAGCTGGTTTGGAAAAAAGTGTGTAATGGGTGCTTGAAGGTAATGGAGCATGTAGAAAATACTTTGTGGTTTTTGCGCCTTTTTCGCGAGTGGATACATTTTTTGCTCAACTCGTTTTTATGTTTAAAACCTTTTTTTTTATAAACTAATAACCCGTATTTTTATATTATTTTATGATGTAGGTATATGGTTAGAAGAATTTTTTAAACCAAAGATGTATACATTTGATAGAATCTGCCTACTTCAAGTTAATTGTTAACAATTGAGAATATTATCTATTTTATTTTAAATAATTAATTGACAAGTGATTAAATACACATTGTTACGATCACTCTTTTATAAGACTTTCAACTGTTCAAAGAAAAATTAAGCTCTCGGTTGATTTTATTTCAATATTTTAAACACAGATTTTACAAAAATGGGTCACAGAAGAACTTGAGTTCAGATTGTCTATAGTATGTTCGTGAAAATCCAATTATTTTTATTTAGGGATAAGCTCGCGTTATGACAATGATAAACTTGGTGTCCCCTTAAAATTGTAGCAAAACTTAAAAAAGCATCGATTGCCAACTAAAGTTTGAGCACTTTAATTTAATTGACACCTTGAACGCATGAATCGAGGGCTCCCTTCGAAAAACCTATCAGCTCGTGCCCCACCTGTTTTTTTTTCCACTCGTCGATCGCACATCAGTGTAAGAGCGCTTGCACGTGCATACATATACGTATCAAAGAAAAGGAAAAAACTTTAATAAAGTCAATCATCAATAATGTACTTGCTCGTTTGTTTTTTTATTTATTCATTAATTTTTTTGAGACACAAAAAAAGGTATCCTCGCACCGTATGACGGGGTACCAAGTATCGTCAAAAGAGTGAGGGAGAGGAACGCCGAATGTAACTCGGAGGGAAAATTATCGCCGTAATAAGTCCGGCGCGCCAAGTAATCTCGAGTTTCTTCGGAGGGGCATAGAATATTGAGAGAGAAGTGTCGCAAAGGGGGATGCTTTTACCCAGTGGCCGATTGGACTTGGGATAATGACGGGGTAAATATAAATGTATAACCAAAAGGACGGAGAGGATGGACTCATCGTGGCGGCCCTGCAGTCGTTAACGAGGTAGTCTCCCGGTGTAATTAGATCGCCAAAGGAGGTAGCGAAAATTTGTAATTCCGTTCGATAGCTCGAGGATTCGACTGGAAGGTACCTCGAGATGAAATGAGGTGCCACTATCTTCCCCCCTCTATCTATTGACTTTATTTATCTCAACTTTGTTATTTTCATCCAAGGGGACGAGCTGCTGCTGTTATTACGCTGTTTGATGTATTTAAGGCAAACGATGCGCCGTGATTTTAATTTTTTTCCCTGTTAGCCCTCTTTTTCAATTCCTACGAGAATTAACAACGAGTTACCGGCGAGTGCGAATTTACCAGCGAGAAGTGAGATCGAGGCACACAGATAAATTGTGCTGGTTTGATATTACTGTACGTCTCTCAGCAAAGTGGATCGACTAAAATATCCGAATAACAAGTGAAATTTTGAAATTCGTGAAGAAAAGCGAGAAACTACACACTTTTTTCCCTATGTGAGCACATGGATTGTGTGAAAATTGTCAGTGCATTTTCGGTCCAAGTAGAGCCAATAAGTGTTCCGAAACACAGTACATCGACACGAGCATTCGCCCCAACTGAGCCGTGATTCTTGATCGGGCCCTCGCAGACAGACGCTGGCTTAAATTATTCGCCCGAGACAAAGCCCGAGACCCCGAAGAAAAAAAAAAGAGAGCCTGTACCGCGTGCCGGTCGGCTTTGCGGGAAAGGACAGCGAGTCTCGCGCCTGCGAAATTAGTCCCCGAGAGGCGAGGAAGATAAGCGCACCCCAGCCTCTCCGCGCCTGCACGTTACACGTAATCTTCGATTCGTCTATCTTACCGGGTCGCTTTGAACTCCCGCGCACGCCCTTTCCCAGCTCTGAAACTATATACGCAACTGCTCCAGGGAGCCAAGAGACGATGGGTGTCTCTGTTTTCTCGGGAAGTTCGCGCGGGCAAATTACACGGCGGATCTCAAAGAAAGTCGATGGCTGAGCGCTTGAGCTTTGCCGCCGTGAGTAATCGGGTCACGGGGTTGGGAGAGTGGGTGGGGACCACTGGATCGTGGGCTGTGGAAAATGGCCTGCCGAGAGAAAAAAGGCGATGGGGAGGAACAAAAAGTACGAATAAGGTGCAGACTCTGTGCATGCACCGTAATATATCGATGAAGAGTTTATTTTTTAATTTTTTTACCGCCATAAAGAAAATTGAGTTCCATGGTTGGGAGGGGATCGTTTAAAGAAGCTCAGATTTCTTTGGGTTGTTTAATTCTTGCAGTTTATAAAGTAGTCTCTAGTGATTTTTGTTAAGTTGCCGAGTCTTGGTACGTTTGCTGTGTTGCAAAGGTTTTTGTTGGATTCAAACTTTGGATACTCAACGATTTTTATCTATATATTTTTGGAACTCTATTAGACACTTTCTTTCGAGAACTGCGGTCTAGTTAAGAATTAGTACGTATATCAGCTCAGCTCTTGCGTCAAAGTGTTTAATGTGGAAAAGTATACTCGAGATTTTCTTAGCTTTGATTAATATTTAATCGTGTAAATAGGTGATCTGGTCGTCAGAGGAGAAAGAAATGTGTTTTCTTGTTCTATATGTATACGCTACAGTCCTTTTTCAATTTTGAAGCACAAAAATATTGTATGTTGCCGATGGCTATTGTAAAGTCTAAGTCTCGGGGCAAGAATACGATACCTTACCTACAGTTTAAAAAAAACACTCCTTTGGGATTAGACTATCTGGAATAAAGTACCAATGAATAAAATGAAACTCCTTAAATAGCGTGAAAAAGAAAAAAAATTAGTTAAAAACACTTCAAGTAGTAATAATACACAAAAGATAGTGTAGAACAAAAACTGGCCGTACCCATATGCACACTTTCACGAGTGGGCGTGTGATCGATTGTTGCCAATTTATCGTAACCCCAGAGAGAAAGAAAAACGCCCGACATTAAGGCGCAACAACGCGTGCAGCCTTTATCTCTTAATCCTCGGGGAAGAGGTGATGTAATACTACTGTTTTGAATAATAACGACGCGTATTTACCTACTGCATTAATTCAGCGGTAAGAGTGCCATTTTAATCGGAGAAAGCTGTACTTACGTATAAGCGTTGATATTGATGGCCTATTAACAAAACGATAACGCTCGAGTATAATAAAGTACACACGGATAAAATGTACATACCCCCAACAACATATTAGAAATTGCAAAATCGAAGTAAGGCGGTGTACCGTTCACGAAACGTATCAAATTTGTTATGATATCTTAAAAAGTATTCATACGCACCTGATGGTAATTTGCACGGTATGCGATATGAGGTAAAAATGTTTATTCCTCAACGTATAGCTTTTGAAGGGACGTCAATGCTAAAGCCATAAAATATGCATTGGTGTGCACACGTGGCCGTATCGAGCAAGTTCGAAGAGCGACGCGCGACTAATGGAGTGGTTCTCGCTCGAAAGCTCGCCCCGCGGGCCCCCTCGTCTAATGGTCAGCCAACTTTTGAGCACCACCTTTTTTACCTCCCCCGGCCCTCTAACGTGTGGTTTTCGATGACCACATAACGATCTCGACTTTTTTCGAGATGCCACTGTGTATCCCAGTATCTGACGAGAGGTAGAAAATAAGTCGAAAGAATAGCACTCACGTTGTGGCCCTTGACGTCCTTGTAACGAATCCATTTGCCGAGTCGGGGCCGCCAGTACTCGAGCACGTACGACTCGGCGTACTCGACGCCGACGCCGTTGCCGAAGCGACCCTGGGTCCCGGTGGCGGTGATCAGGTGCACCGTGTGAAGATCGATCTCGAGCCACTGGCGGGGGTCGTCGGTCACTTGGTCCTTCGGGCACCAGGCGCCGCCCTGATTTTCCGTCCTCACCCTGGAAAATTTTGAAAACAACATATAGTTTTTTTTTTTTTTTTTTTTTTTCATCACCTAGAGCCCCTTGGCTCTTTTTGATCCATACTTTTTTTTATCAGTTTTCAGCTACGTTGGCTGAGCCATGCCACGTCCGTGACGAGGTGTACCATTTTGCTGTACAATATTAATTATATTGTGAAGCTAGTGATTCTAAATTGTAATAGTTTTTAATTCTTTTCTCATTACTATTTTTAATGAAATAACAATTTCACTTTTTAAATCCAGAATTCAAATTATTTTATGATAAAAACCAATGTACGTCTATTAAGTAAGTCACCAAAAATAGGAATGTTTGGCAATGAATATCGGATTAGACATTACTTTTATGAACATTTGTAAATAATTGGGAATGGGAGGATGGAGTGTAGAAAATTGCTTGAAACCAGTAAAATAAAAAATGGCTCAAGTATACCATGTTTACTTGGCAATGGCTAAAGGTACCTATGTGACTTTCTATAGGACCTATTGAACATCATGTTCTGTTATGTAATTACAAGTACCCATTCCTCCTTTCGCAGTTCACTCGTGTATACTTTCTTCTTATATCCGTGCATGGCAGTGAGAGTCAACAACTATTATCGCATTTCCTCAAACCGAAGGGGAGCATGGGTAAAAACGGACCAAAGAAGCAAAAATCCATGGCGCACGTATAATAACATCGGTATTAAGCGCGCACCTGTCGGCTCTTGGAGACAGGCGAGGAAGAGGAACGAGCGAGAAGCGTATACTCAACAGGGAAGAAAACGCGCCGAGGAGGCATATTTGCAGGGGAAGGGAGCTTCTTCACGGATCGAGCTGTGAAATTGCGGCGCACCGAGGCTTTGGACACAGATATCTCCCCTCCGAGGCGGCGAAAATGCAAAGCAACTGGTGATGCACCCCCTCCTCCTCTTCTTCTTCTCTTTCCTCCTCCAAGCCTCGATTTTCAGAGGGACCGCTCGGATGGCTCTCCTTGCTTTTCTTTTTATCTCTACTCTCTCCACTAACTCGGATTTCTTACCGAGAGAGAGGAGGGCGGTGTTCGCTCCGATTACCGAGCCTCGACTTTGTCTTGTTTCTGCTCCGCGCGAAGAGCTTCTCGGGGACGTCGAGGCTGTAAATCGCTCACTTGCACGCCAGTGAGATGATTAGAGGAGAAAGCTCGCCCGGGTGGATTACGGCGCTCGCAATTGAACCGAATAACTCCGAGGAGTCGGGGAATTTCCTGTGAGAACAGTCGGACGGGCCAACAGAGCTGTCTACCCCTTTCCTTGAGAAAACCACACGTGACATCACACAGGCCTCGAAAAATATTTACATTTTTTGTTTTTTTACTTCTGTAGACTATACCCAAGGAAAAAAAAGAAAAAAAATGAAAGTGGTCTCCTGTCGATTATAACAGTCCAGCTTCTTGACTTGGAGCTCAACTCGGAGATCATGGAAAAGAAAAGGAAAACCCCGAGGAAAATCTGGGATGATAATCACACAGCCTGCACGTTGATTCGCGACCGAGAGCCGGAAGCTGGATCTTATTAAATTTCCCATGCAAAGTGAGGGGGGGGGGTATATAGTACACCCGGCAAAAATTTACAATGCTAAAACTCAAAGGAGCGGGGGAACGCCTTGCACTCGGATATCTGGATGAATACAAAAAACAGTATTTATCCCGCACGAGCTGGAATGAAAAAGTATAGCTTCGATCGGTGGTGAATCTTAAGTACTGCCCAAAGTGCCCCCGCAGTTGCCAGGTAGATTGACTTTACACGAGACCGCGCCTCGGCAGCTGATACTTGAGTGTCGAAAAGAGGCATCGGAGGGAGGACCGATAGTCACGAGAGGGAAAAAGGGCAAAAGTCGGCGTTAGACCGAGCTTAGTTTTAATCTCGAGGGCGAGTGTACCAAGAGAGTGCAGAGACAGAGGGGGCATGAATAAAAGATGAGAGGAGCGGGCCACGGTGCGCGAGGCTCCTTGCTCCTCCTAATTGCACGGACCGTTTATGCGTACCGGCAGCGGCGACGGGGCGTCAACCGAATCTCCGAGATGGATACTAATAATCGCCCACTTCCCTCGCGCGTAGGTACGCCAGTTTTGACGCGGTGCTCGAGCGTTGGCTAATGGGTGCGCCCGCGTGACCTTGTGACTTTTGGTTTCTTTCTTCTCTTTGGTCCATAAAAGATGCAATTTCGGTTGCATGGATGTTTGATTTTTACTGGGGTGGAAGCGATGGGGCACAAAGCTTCATTGAGTGGAAGACCTACTTTTGTTGGTCTACTTTTTTGGACGTTGATGGACTACAAAGATGTACGGCCAATTGGTCACAGTGTATAAAAAGCCATAGTTCACTTGATCACAAAAATGATGTTAGAGGTAAGTGATGCCAACAAATGATAGAGTTTCGTCACTCGATAACACCCTGAACTAAAAATCTGCCCTACCACCCCCCACCAGTTGTCTCCGTGCCTTCGAAAGATAGTCGCGAGTGGAGCTAATGAAATCCCAAGCTCTAAATTCTTAATTTAATAATTGACTCCAAGCCAGACCGTCGGACTATCAGACCGATAAACGTAAATTACGGCCCCGCATCTTTGTGCAATTGCTCGAGGCGACTCGCCTGTATTCTCTTGCTCCTTCTTTTCTCACTACTCTCGATTTCTATCTTCCCCTCGATCCACTTGATCTTCGTTTGGTAGAAATCGGTTCTCCAACCCTCGATTATGGATCCCCTCGAGCTTAGGGCACGTGTCCAGGTGCGATGCCACGGAGATTAAATCTATTTAAAAGACGACGCGATAGTTTTTAGGTAAAAATCATCACGGATGATTAAAAAAAATCACAAAGCTCAAGCTCATCTTTGGGGCTTCTCAATTTATGCATTTACTGGATAGTGACAAGGTAGAAGACATCTAAAATAAGTCCCTCGTGTATGTTGAACGTAATTGGTTTCACAGCGATGCAAGAAATGACATTGGCACTCGAGGCCGTGACTTACATTAGGAAGATAGTACATCATCATGCGGTCCAATTTTGTTGGCCTTGACCAACGTGAGTCCACCAATTGCTTCCACACAGTTTGAAAAGTATCAGCGAGAACCTCGTGCCATCCAAACTAATTACAATTCCACAGCATCGGAACATCAACGGAGCACCAAGTAGGTCACTTCGAGGACTGTCGCGTTGACAGTCAACGGTACAGTAGTGGCAAAGGCACAAGTATGGGGCGGTTGGCTCGAGGGAGAATCGGGTCGAGGTGACGGTGATGGAAAGAGTACAGCGCCGAGAAGTCGCCGAGGCAGGATAACAACCGCGTACAGGATCGTCGAGTCGAAGTTGACCCCGGGTTTGCTGCTACCGATACCGCTGCGGGCCAACCAACTCTGCAGCGTGTATATACGGAAACTTTTGCCACCTGAGCTACATGGATCTTTCCACACGAGCAGAAGAAAAGTTTTGCGGGGGTTGATGGAGAATGCTGCGTTTTCGTGAGGTCACGAGGATGGAAAATGTTGTGGCAACAATTACTGGACAGTAAAAATTAGAAGGGAGAAAGTATCGCAAAGTCAAAAGAATTTCCGGGTGTCAAGAAGTGGTGCGACACTTGAAGAGCGCGAAAGAGGAAACGAGTGTCATCCACACGCTCAGCGAGTGAACACACGGGTGTAAAAAGATTCACAAAGGAGTGACATGCTAACGAGCAGTAAAGAAGCAACAGAAGCTACGAGGCATTGAGTTCCCAAAGTACTTTTTTTCCCTTTCTCTTTCCCTTCTATCTTGTAATATTCTTTTTTTTTCCCTCAAAACCTGGTTATTCCTTATTAGGATCGTGGACTTTAAACCCGTGAGAAATCTTAACTCGACAGAAGCCAACCATCGTGGCCATGGACTCGCGTCCACTCGCACATCTTCGCGGTCCATAGAGCCCCGACTACCCCGAACCCATCAAACATCCCCCTGTCCCTTGGATGCTCCACTCGCAACCCTCCACCCTGCAGTGCCGTTAATACGGTGCATCATCGGCAGTGGTAGTAGGCTTCTAGACTCTATTAAATTAAATGGCACGAGACAGGGAGGTCGGGGTAGGGGGGCAAAGGAAATGACGAAGCCAACACACAGGAGACAGACAGAGAGAGATAGAGAGAGACGACCACAGTTTCCGAGTATCGTCCTCATAATCAGCAGGCGAGGGCTCATAGCCGGCAGGAGCATCAAGCCTGTCTTTGTCTGCGGTAATGGAATGTATTAATATCCAAGGGCCCAGCGCGAAATCAAGTGTATACATGCGACAGCTTTAGAGCATCCCACGCGGGTGTGTGTGTGTGCAATGTCCCGCGGGAGGTGGTGCCAGTATACACCCTCCCTAAAAGTAGGTACACGCGTCTCTGTGTCCATGAGCCTGTGTTTGCGTATACAAGCCAGGCGACATGGACAGGATATGACGTTAAACTGTGGGTATGCGTGTGCACGATGTACTAATGCTGCCTCAACGCGTTTGGGGGCAAGGTGTCGATATCTCTATACTGTATACGCTCGGGCTCTCGCGGTTTGCGTTGCTTTGGGTATTATATACTGTAATGGCTTTGTTAAGTGTATCCATACGTGAGGGGAAAAAAAAGCGCTATGGATGAGGCTGATAGTCGTGGTTGAGGGTTGAAGGGGTGCAATTGTCCGATAAGTTTGTTGAAATTGGGAGAAAAAGGACAACTTGCGAGTTTTTTTTCGGGGAAAAAGCAATTACGGACTCGATGGAGTCTTTCCGTCGGGCCGATGAAGATGGAAGTAAAACTTTCTTTGGTTCCCTCCTTTTGTCCAATAAATTTGCCTCCGAGCAATTAAAGTGTCTTGATAAGCTTGGAGAAAAATGCGAAAAGCGTTTTATCGCGAGTTTATATACTTTCGGGTCACCTCGAGGCGGAAATATATAGATAATGCGATGAGCTTCAACCGTGACATCATCCACCGTAGGTGTATAGATTTTCGTCTCATCTGCCGTCGTTTTAGTCGGTTTTAGAGCCAAAGCGTTGTTGAATATTATTCAAACGATGTCGGGCTATTGAATATTTAGTGCTCACGGATATATAGTACATACGTGGTACAAGCGAGCACAGGAGGATAGAGAAATAACGACGACTACGACCAAGAGCACGAGGATACAGAGGCTGCGGGCAAATCTACGATTAAAGCGACTGGTATGCATGAAGCTCGTCTGAGCCTCTTGGGTATGAAACAGGACTGTGACGACGACGACGATGACGCAATTAATAAGCGATTATTTATTCAACAAGGTGGGGCTGGTCCTCGTCTTGGATTTTCATCGTTATCACTAGGAGTGCAAAGGCTGATGAGGCGTTGTTACACATCCCATAGTGACGGCTAATCTATTGCAGTGGCGATTGCAACGTTGATTCAGTTAAACGTCTAAATCGTAAAAATGTGGTATTACACGAAAAGTTGCGTGACTTGTCGTTAATGCTTAGTAGGTTCTAGTGAAAGTATAAAAAGATCTGATCATGTGAGGTGGAAAAGAAGACTAAAGAAGTGTGTGATCTTTAAAAATAAATTCTAACGAATCCTTAAAGTACGATATCTACACAATTTTAAAAATAAAATGACGTTCTCATTTAATATTCTTTTAGGTCTTTATAATCAAGATATCGTACTTTTTAGATAATTGTTATTGAGAACTTCTCAAACTCATAGATAAAGCCTGCATTTGATCAGGAATCCATGGAATATTAGAAGGTAAACTATGATATTGTAAAGATAGATTATCCTTTGATTATTTACCAAGTCCTTGTGATACCTCTTTCAATAACCCAGTGGGTCGCTAACTATAATAATACTTTTAGTTTCCTGGAAAGGTGTTGATTGAACAGAATATTTCCATTCGATTACAAAGTCAGGGATTGGTAGTTTTTACAAACAATTCCATATCGTCTACAAACGGCAATAGTTAATAGATCAGCCAATGATACAGCTCATTAGATCCAAGAGTTTCTTTGGGGATTTAAATACTTTGAAACAAATTTGCCACCCATATCTGAATAATATTATTAGTAAATTAAAATAGCTTACCGAGCCTGGTGAGGTCCAACGTTGCCGCTGTCGAAGCTCGAGCTGGCCGTGATGTCGTTGTCCGGTATCGCGCCACTTTCCATCCCCAGTGGCCCGACGCATTGCGCTGCAATCAGAAAGCAAAGACACCCGACATCAGCGAGAAAGATTTAGCCAACAACTATATAGGTATACCTACAACGCACTGCCAAACCCAGATGGTAATGAACAAGCTACAGCTGGGGATCTTTGGCGCGCAATAGAAACGTGCACTCTTACAAGAAATATTTGTGTACACTCGGTGTACGGAGATAGCAGAGAACGAGAGAGAGAGGTTGAAAAGTGTTTAGATTTATGTGCACATCACGAGCGCGAAGGGATCATAAACCGGTACGAGTATATACGGGACCCGCTTGGCCGGGGAGACGAATCGCAGGATAGTCATCTTTTGTGTTCCGTGTTACGCTCCTCTGCTGTTGTTCTCGTGTCCATTCGAGGGAGGGAGATCGAAACAGCAAAAGCTCAGTGGAGGAACTCGCCTTTGCTGTTTTCGTACGCAAGTGCAAGGATATTTATCTCGAGGACCGATCTAATTGTTTCGTAAAAGGCTGGGGGCACACGCACGGATGTACGTTGGTATTATAATACACGAAACAGCGGGGGATCAAGAGGCGGGATCCGCGACCGAGCACTTCCTGTGCGAAATCTGTGGGGATAGCTGACGGGGAGAGGCAAGTATTTGGTGATTACTGGGTTACTACGTCGTAATATACAGCTGTACACAGGATACAGGGTATAGAATGTTGTTTATTATAATGTAAGGATGTGGGATTAAGAGAGAAAAAAGTACGTAAGGTATATGTAGTATTGTAACGAGATTTGGTACATAGGATTTAAGGACACCATTGGAGTGATAGTTTCTCGCTGGTTTGAAACTGCGTAGATAGGAGCCTATACATTGTCTGGCTGCATGTGGGGCCAATACATGCTCACGCAAAAACCATTATCGTCTATCATATTCACGAAAATTGTCCTAAAACGAGCATCACTGTTTGCCCCACCGCTATATCCACCGCAAGACCGAAAGGATGTATAGCATACTGCCTCGAAAGCCGGTCCTGTGTGCTGCTGCAGATACCATCTACTTTGCATACTTCATCCGCTCGGCCGGCCGCGCGCTGCAATGGGGGCTACCGGGGTAGGCGTTACCCCCTTTTCTCAAAAGTTTTACGGATAGCTCGGAGAGATGTGTGTTCGCGCGTGTAGTACACGTGTGCTCGTTAACGAGCTTGTTTTTCGGGACGGGGCTCGAAAGAGGATACGGTGGTTATTATAATGTACTTACCGGCTGATGCTTCGCGAGTCGAGCCTTCGGAAATTGAGGTGCGTTGAATCAAGAGCTATATAATTACTCGTTGCTGGGGAATCTTTTTGTGCAAATTGATGGTTTTCAAACTTTCGAAATTGCCTAGTTCACGTGATGCGCTTGCCATACTCCTTTTACAGGTACTTATTTACGGACAATGAGCGGAACTTTTTATGAATTATGCGGATAAAATTGTCATTTCGTACGCCTATTTCTAAAAAAAAGGGTTGTTGACGTGGTAAAAGTTGGTTAATGTATCCGATGTGTCCACAAAATATAGACAACACTGACTGTCTCCTTGAGTCTTTTTGACTATAGAACACTGGCATGATATCAATCATCGATAAACATAGTAACTGTTAATTTATTTCCTAAACTTTTTAGTTACGTGCAACGAAAATAATGATCATAGATGCGTTAAGAAAATGTGTCGTCAAACAATGAATTTACTTCACAAGATTGTCTCTTTAAAGATGTAACCTACTTTAAACAAAAACAAGACAACCAAGAAAAAAAAGTACGCATAGAATATTTCATCGATCTCTTTCGAAGCAATCCTTTGAAGCAAATTATTCATTTCCATCGCACCATTGTGCTATGGACCGCTGCGTGCCATCCTCACCTCGGCCGGGAACTCGATTAGAAGACCAGGCGGGACAAACTTCCGCAAAACCGAATTACCACGTCGACGAATTGAAATTGCTCGACAGTGGAAATATCAGATCAACACAGTACCATCTCTTCCTTCATACGGGACAAGGACAACAACGCCAACAAGCATGCCCTGTGCGCTGCTGGATAGTTTCGTTGTTTGGAGTTTGCCATCGTAGATGTAGCTCCGAGTCTCGCGTCTCTTCGATCATCAGCCCAGCGTTGGCTGCACGTAATAATACGTACACATCCATAAGCTCAAATTTCGTCCCATTACCCCGTCTGTCTCTCTCTCTCTCTCTCTCTCCTCGAGTCCTATCATTTCCTCGTGCTTTGCTTCTCAAAATGCATGCACTGGTATCCGATTGTAGCACGTAAGTACGCAGGTGTACATCGAGTATAGGCTTGGCATAATGCCCTTTCATCACTCGACACGTCTATATATACGCTCGTACAGTCGGATGTTTCGGCTGTAAAACACCTTTGGCTTTCTCTTGACCAGCTAATCAATCACTCGCCGCTTCGATTTGTACTTTGAGAATGTATTGCACAAGAAGAAGACGATCGTTTGTTACATGATTGGACCGATCGGACGAGATGGTGATCATTGCTCTAAAGAGGTAGGGGGATTTTTTTCATTAGCTACGCTCCATTATTTTTGGGTTCTTCATTGACAATTTTGTAATTTAAATTTTTTGAGAAAACGCAATCGAAGTTAATTGAATCGCGTGTACGGGTACGATAATTTTCGAGTGTTGGATGGATGGAGACAGATTAACAAGTTGAGTGGAAAAAAAGTGAAGGGAAAGGAAAAAGTTGTAATATAACAACTGTGCAAAGAGGATCGATCAGATAGATGTCTATGAGTAGAAGTATATTTGATAGTAAGGTTGAAAAAAAAAAAAAAAAGGTAAAACAGTCACGTACCACGAGTTAAAAATATAGAGAAAGGAAGGATGAAGGAAATTAAATTTTCAAAATCTGTGAAAAGAGGAACACAGGCGATGTGAAATAAATTGCATCCTTGCTGGAAGCTCATAATCAGAAGCGAAAAGACTTGGGCCCGTCGAGTGAGCGACGGAGACCTTTTTTTCGTGATCGAAGCAAGTGGAAGAAGCAAAAAAAGGCGAGGAAGGCTAGAAGACATTAGAGAAGGAGGGGCGTTGAGACGAGAAGAAGAACAAACTCGTTATCGGAGTCGCGCTAGTGGCCGCGACGGCTCGTTTACGGCACGAGCTGACTAAGGCACTTCGACATGCAAATCAGCGCGCTCTACTCGAGTACATGTAATATATACGCGTGCGAGGGCTTACGAACAAAAAGTCTGGGGTGGATCCGAAAGAGGTGCCGGGATCGCAGCGTACAAACGAGAACATGCTTGTAGCTTATGGGGAGAGCTTTTGGTGGGACGATCTACGGCGATGACATCCTTGGCTTGAGGATGGAAAAAAAAAATTTAGGATCCGGACCTCAAAATTTTTTTCGCACCATGAGTTCAAGTACATCGGTCCAAGTGCTAACCTACTGTATAATATTCGAATCACCAAGTATCAGCCACTGATTTGACAGCACTTGAGGTCAAACTAGATTTACAGGAAAATAAGTGGCCAAATATTCTATGGTCCAGAGAGCACCTCTTAACTTTGAAACCAATTGTGCGTCAAATTAATTCGTGAAACTACTTTGTCAGGTGAACTCCGATATTTATCCTCGCACACGAGTGAAAACAAGGGCAGTACCACTCGAAAATGAGACTTGACAACGCATCCGTGCAAAGTGAATCGTGAACTCACCGAGATCAATGCAGCGTACTGCTGTGGCCAGAAGCCCAACGGCGAGGACGACCGCCCCGGCGTTGCGGATGAGATCGCGTCCCCGGCCAAATTTCCTCATCGTTGCTCACTTCACAGCAACGGCGGTCAGGATGATGGAAACGAGGATGACTCCGAGGGCCCCGACGCAATCCTCCTGCCCTCACCGATTACCGCCGACTGTCACCGTCCTCATGTTCCTGGTGCACTGCTGGCTTGTCTTCGCTCTCCGTTCTGCAACAGAAATTACAGATATACATGTATTGGGTGTAAGTATAAGAATAAGTGTAAATATATTATGGTATATTGCAATGAGCGATGATTAAAGTGTTTCGCGAGTAGCAAATACTACATATGGATGGGGTTTTTTTTTTGCGCTATACCCCGGGGACATTACTCATGAGCGTCAGTTCTGATTAATGAATTGGTTGGTGCGCGTGTATGGAGTGTTGCATGAGGATTTTGACGAATATAATGGGTGGCGTTTTCCGACGATCTATACACCGTTTGATTAACGAGAGACTTTCTCTCTGCGGTGCAAATCAGTTGATAAAGCGATTTTCTTTTTCTTTTTTTCCTAATTTACGTGGTCCGAGCCTTGGTCTGCTCCTAGACAAGCGTTGCTTCATTGACACCTTTTGTTTTTTCTATACTGCAAGGGACATTCAGCTGTGCTCTTTTTAAGGCCAACTGATGTGCGCCACGTATTTGTAAAATACCAGAATCTATACTGTACGAATAACTCATTGGTAGCCTAAATGTGCATCGCCTAGAGATGGAAAAATCGATACCTTGATACGTCTGCAACAACCAAACGCCAATAATCCGGTTAATCCCTTGGGGGGGGGGGGGGGGAACTGACGGACGCATTTTGTAAAAAAAAGAAAATAAAGGAAAAAAATGGCAAACACAATACAAGAACAAGCCACTTGTTTCGTGGCGCATTAGCATCGCATGAATATTCACGGTCGCACTTCGGAGCGCGACATTATGGATACGTTTAAACGCGACATCGATCGCACGACGAACGATGCTCGATTGCGCAAACAACACTGCGTACGCGTATAATAGTACTGTATCGTTCACCGGTGAAAAAGTATAAAACGCGAAAAAAAACAAGTCTAGAGCGTAGGCCCTCTCGTAACCACGCATAAACGATGGCGGAGCGCTAAAAGCCTAGCGGGCGCAATAGCTTCCTGATGAAAAGGAGATCACGTGTATTCGAAGCGTTAGCTTGGGCGTGTGTAGGAAATTGCACTTGGTAACCAGCTACTGCTTTACGGTGACTCAACAGCATCGTTTGAGAGAACTAGAAAGCAGGCGATGTAATTTACGGTCGCAGCGCGCGTGGATGGCGCTCGATCGGGTGTCGAAAGGAGAGCCGTGTACGTCCGCGTACGCAAGCTCGTATGTACGCGCATGAGATTCGGGCCAACAAGTCCGAGAGTTGGTATGTTAATGATGCCTCAACGGAGTTACCTATACCTCCGTGGTGTATAATTTGGAGCGATTGCCGGTGGATTTGGGATTGGCTTGAGCTTACGTGACTTTGGTACTGCTTTTTTTTCATATATACAAGTTTCCCGAGGGGGTTCTTTGAAAGAACGCCTGAAAACGTAACAAATGGAAAAGGGAGATCGTAGAATGCATTCAAACAAATTAACCTGGAATTAGAAAGGCGAGGGTGAGCGATTAAATAAAGAAATATGCGGAACAATTTATAAAACACTCCGACACTCTTGTTACCGATTTACTCGAATCTTTCGATAAATTTCTATAATTTACAGGTAAATTTCACAAATTCGAAACAAAAATAACGGCCGCACTTTCACGTATGCGGCTATTGATGTAAAACTACCAAACGCAGCTGCGTGTTGATCATCAAACGGAAAGAAAACTAAAAGAGCAGTCGAGCAGAGTTGAGCGAAAAAACACTTACTGCACGAGAGAGAGAGAGAGAGAGAGAGAGAGTAAATAGAAATGAAAAAGAAAGGGATAAGCACCGCGTAATGGATATAAGTGAGCGAAGGGTTGGACGGGAGGTAAATGACGGTAACAAGGCGGGGCAAAAGGAGGAAGCGAGCGGACCGCAAGCATCAGATGCTCAGGAAGGTAGAGAGAAAAACACACACGAGCAGCATCCAAGGGGATACAGCGAGGAGAAGAAAAAAGCTGCGCAGTACTGATATGGAGAGGGAAGAAGCAAACATTGCGGTCCTGCGCGCGTGTGTGTACCCTACGAGGATGGCCTTTGATGGATTTTTCTTTGCATCGCACTATGATACTTCAACTATGATATTCAACGTTTCAGGCGAATGTCCTCCGAGATGTGTGCCGAGCAGCAAAAGTTATGGGAAGGACGCATAAAACAACCACGAGTTCCTCACGAAAGGAAGCAATGGCACAAGACTGCAACTGCAGCCATGGAGGTAGGACGAGCGAACGAATGAATGAATGAAACGGGAGAAGCTGGAGCACGTGAGTATATGTAGGAGGAGCTCAGGTGTGCACGGTGCAACCGACGACGGCGGCTGGTGGGCGTAATTGTAGCCAAGTTTGAATAAATAACGAGGCTCCGCGAGGAGCGATGCCTCGGGGGGCTTTGACGCCGAGGCCTCTATTTTTCTCTCCCTCTCCCTCTTCCGAGGTAACGTTGTATTCTGACCTATTAAATTTACATGCGGCGCAAACTTGCGGCCCTGACGCCTGCCTCGGGCCATTTCTAGGGCTGCACAGCTCGCTCGGCGGATAGGTCGAAAGAAGACGCCGTCGGTGTGACCTTTTTTCCCCTTTTTTATATAATGAATCTTGGCGCGGTTGATCGCACCGCTCATTGTTTCTTGGAAGTTTATTCGATTCATTTTTTTTTCTTTTTTTTTTAGATCCGTTTTTGTTACAACTTGATGCCGCTCAAGAAAAGTCTAAATCAGACGTACGACCCAAAGGACAATTTCTGTTGTTCCGTGCACCTCGTAATTTTGCATCCTCGCGAGAAAAGAACGCGATATCTCCACCCCAGCCGAGTAATAAAAAGGGATGAGGCTCTACTATAGCACCCCCCCCCCCAACCCTCTACACATGCACGTACATTACATTCTCGTGCAGGCCCATATGAAAAATTTCATACGTCGCGATGAGAAACTTTCTCCGGGGGCTTTTTCATTTTCGTCTGCAGCTTGGCAGCTCCCACCCACCCCTTTTCCGCGTCCAACTCCCAAAGTCTTGCACGGGAGCGGGAAAGTTTGTGCGGCGACGGAGGAATTTGCAGAAGGGAGAGAGAGAGCAGTGTATCAATTTTATTGGCGAAACTCACCGTACGTATGGGTTTTCCTTCTGAGGTCTCCCCCACCTCCCCTTGAACTTTGGTAATTGCTTCCACGGATGTCGGGAGATTTATTAATCATACGGGGCTTGACGTCCGAATCGCGCTAATTACAGGTATACCGTATAGGTCCGAGCCCGCGAAATCGATCCTGCCCGGGGACGTGTGATACGTGCCTCCTGCGCTTCAAAGATACACCTATATGTGCATACTTTAGCTCTCGAAAGCTTAAGAATGACAAGTCCTTTCAACTTCGGCGTAAAATAATCAAACTCCCTCTGGATGGTTATAGTTAAAATATATACACGAGGTGTAGTCAAAGGTATACGCGATTAACGTGACCTTTTAGCGGTCGATTGAAAAAACACGAGGTAGAAAAACAGCGGAGGCAAAAACCAATACCGTCTACGTGTAGCTTTCCCTTTTAGAATAATCCCCTGAAGGGGACTCGTGGTGTACACAGGCAGTACCTGCACGAAAGCCCCTCGGGGCGGCTTATCGAAGGGAAAGAGAGACCAGGTGAAACAACAACTCCAGCAGTCGGTGCACGTCTCCGGGAATAGGGAAGGAGCTTATTAATCGCCAAGAAGGAGGAGGAAAAAAGGGAATGGCGATAAATACAGGGGGAGGGGGGTTGTTGAGCCGGCAGGCGCCTCCGCGGTCGACGACACGGCAGAGCAAGAGGAGGAGGCGCCTACGTGGATATCTCTCGTTCTCTTCCGTTGAAAATTTGCATAGGTATGAGCTTATGCAGATTAATACAAGGGAATATTGTGACTGGGTGTACAGGGTTGGGGCATCGCACGCGTGTACCTATAAATTTGGACATGCGAGCCGATATTTCGTTTATTTCTTTTTTTTTTTTTTTTTNGTGTGATCTCTGGTCTGAATGTGATTGTGAGAAAAAAAGGAAGAGAAATAAGTTGAAGAAAATTCTCATCCTAAAACTCGAAAATATCCTTAGAATAAACGATCCGTTGTATATTATATATGTATTCTCGATGTATGTTTGTAATTTTTTTTTTTTTCTTTTTTTTTCACCGGGTTACCACGACATTTCTTACCCGATCGAAAATATAAGCTCGGCAATAGCTCAGGTTTACCTTGGCAACCAAGGTAACCTACGTTGGCACAAGCTTTGCTTTTGTATATGTACCGATGAAATGCAGGGCTAGCTCTGATCTAGGTACAAAGCAAATGTAGAGAAATTAGTGCAGGAAATATAACTTTCAAAAGGCATGAAAAAGTTAACAGTTATTGTAATGCCAAACTAAAGTAATTTTTTCTTTTTTTTTCACTATGAAACACGTTTATTATATTGTGCGCTTCGAGGGATCGATGGTATCGATGTTAGGAGATTTCTTTTTTATTGTTTGTTTATTTTTTTTGGCTCGAGTTGAGCATCAAGGATGAGGTATGTGTTTTGCTTGGGCTAATTGCGGTGCTCTCGTGAATACACATGTGTATAGGTAGTCCTGGAGGATATGGGTTTGTCGTGGTGATCCTTTTTTTTTCTTACTGGCCAAGAGAACATCATGTCGTTAGTTGAATAGAGGTGTAATTATATCCAATATATTTCAACAACGGCATGTTGTCGACCATGTTGGACCCTTACAACTTTAAAATACGATACTTATCGAACATTTGGTGTTCAACGCAGAGGGTTGGATACACACTTGATGGCAAAAGAGATCAAAGCTCGTGTCATCGTATTGTACGAGTTCATCTTATTATGTCTTTGCTAGACATTATACTTATTATTAGTAAACGCGAGCTTATAGGTGGTTTTTATCATTGGTAATTCTACATTATGCTCATCACAAGTTTCAATGGCTTACCGATGCTCGATTGAAGTTTATTATCTTGTATCGACTTGTCGATATTGTTCAGTTTTGAGTCACTTATGATTGAG